CCATTCATCTTTCGAAGAATTGTTTGTTGTTGTTGTTGTTAGGTGCCATGGAGTTGGTACTGACTCATAGAGACCCTATGCACAACAGAACAAAGCACTGCCCTGTCCTGCACCAACCTCAAATTGTTACATTTCAGCCCACTGCTGCCTCTGTGCCAATCCATCTCATTGGGGGTCTTCCTCTTTTCCTCCAACCATCCACTTTTCCAAACATGATATCCTTCTCCAGGGACTGGTCCCTTCGAACAGTATGTCCAAGTATGAGAGATAAAGTCTGGTCGTCCTGACTTCCAGGGAGCACTCTGGCTGTACTTCTTCCAACACAGATTCGTTTGTTCTTTTGGCAGTCCATGATACTTTTAATATTCTCCTCCAACACTATAGCATTCAAATGCATCAATTCTTCTACCGTCTTTGAAAATACCATGGCTTGGGTCAGGTGCACCTTAGTCCTCAAACTGACATCTTTGCTCCTCAGCACTCTAAAGAGGTCTTGTGCAGTATATAGGGTTTATTATGCATCTCACACACGAATCTATTAATCCTCATACCAATCTGTGACGTTGTTGTTGTTGGCTTGGCTGATGTTGAGTTGACCCTGAATTATGGTGACCCTTGGTGTGGTGCTGTAGGATAAGCCCTGGAGTGAACCACAAGGTCGGCGGTCCAAACTCACCAGCTGCTTCTCAGAAACCCCAGACAGAACCAACTCAATGGCACTTAACAAGACCAACAACATGCGCAACAGAACAAAACACTGCCTGGCCTAAAGCATCTTGTAGTCGCTGTGTATTTTGACTACCTTCCAACCCAGGGACTCTTCTTCCAGCAACATACCAGACAGTATCCTGCTGTGAGCCAGATTCATGGGCTAATTTTCCATCATAGATTTCCAGGTCTTTCCTCCATTGAGACCTGTCCACTATGGGTGACCCTGCTAGTCCATGAAATAGTGGTGGCATGGTTTCCAGTATCACAGCAGCACACAAGCCCCCACAGTGTGACAAACTGACAGATAGGTGGTGGGTCTATGAAGTAGGTACCGTTATTACCCTCAGATTGCAAGTGAGGAAACTGAGGCATGAAAAAGTGATGTAACCTAGTCAAGGTACACAGCTGGTAAGTGGCAGAGCTGGAAACTGGATCTTCTTTCTCCCTCCTTTTCTGACCCTTTGGCACTGTCTCTTAATTCTAGGCCTGAGAACAGAATTTAGCTTCCTCAGTCTAACCAGCTAAGTTGTGTGGGCTTAGGCTGGGACCCACTGTGGCTTGTCCTGGTCTGAGCTCTGGGTGGCACCACACTCAGTATGGCTCTGACCCCATGGTCACACACACACACCTTTTCGAAGTTCTAGAGTGCCCCTCCCCCAGGTATGTCAGGGGGCCAGGAGATTCAGGAAATCACAAGACCAGAGAGATTTACATCCGCGAGTTTCTTGGTGTAGGTCCAAGCCCGGACTCAGTCGCAGATGCAGGAAAGTGTCACTCATTTAGTAGTCAAGAAGCTAGGAGTTTGCAATAATTCATCAGAAAGTCACTTTTTCACTCATAGACGTTGGAAATGATGCTTTCTGCTGGGGACTCACGAGACAGATGCCTATGAGTGAATCTGGATTTTACAGAACACAGTTTGGGAGGGGACCAGAGTTCTGAAGCAGAAGCTTTAAGATGCAATCAGAGAATCGCATCCACTTATCTTTGAGTGAATTGTAATTTTCATTTATTGAATTCTCTTAGAGCAAGGCCTTTTGTATTTGGGAATAAAGGCAATTCAATTTAGGAAATCAAAGGTTTTTCAAACTAAGAATTCAGGAAATTAATTATCCTGCCAATAGGTTGGGTCCAGCTTCTGGATGTAGTTGGGAATTCATGCATATTAAAGTACTGTTATATCCGTGGTGGTGGTGATGGTAGTGTGCTGTGGAGTCGGTTCCGACTCATAGCGACCCTGTGTAAGGTTTCTGAGACTGTAAATCTTTATGGGAGCAGAAAGCCTCGTCTTTCTACCTTGGAATGGCTGGTAGTTTCGAACTGCTGACCTTGAGGTTAGCAGCCCAACTCGCAACCACTACGCTACCAGAGCTCCTTTGTTATGTCCTTACTGTCTTCCTATAAGGAAGGGTGTTGTTGTTTAGTGCCACTGAGTTGGTTCAGATTCATTCATGGTGGTGGTGGTGGTAATGTGCCGTGGAGTCGGTTCCGACTCACAGCGACCCTGTACAGGGTTTCCAAAGCTGTAAATCTTTACAGGAGCAGTAAGCCTCATCTTTCTCCCGCAGAACAGCTGGTAGTTTTGAATTACTGACCTTAAGGTTCACAGCCCAATTTGTAACCACTACGCTACCAGAGCTCCTTAGTGATACTATGTAGACATATATATAGTATATACTTCCAAGGAGCATCTGGTAAGTTTGAACTGCCACCATTGCAGTTCAGGCCGACCTTGTGGTCTAGTACTTTATCCCATAGCTCCATACCAGGACTTCACAGGAGGAAGAGTAGTTCACATGAATATGTTTCTTCACTAGAGACACTCATTGGAGTTTCCTGTTTCTCTAGCCATACCTATTTTATAGATGAGGAAACCAAGGCACAGAGAGGTCAGACAGCTCAGACAGCAAGTGGATCAGCACAGAATGGAAGAAACTGAAGAAGCTGCAACAATGTACAAACTGAAGAGCAAGGTCTAGCCCTCAGATAAGGGACTGGCTAAGGAAGGATCGAGGTCCTTCTGAGTAGGCAGGGCTTCTGGGTAGGGTGGTAATCCTAGAGGGAATAAGTGCTTGATGTAATGAAGAAATGAGACTTTCCTTCCAGATAACAAACTATTTTTAAAGCTATAATAATTAAAACAGCATGGCATTGGCATAGGAATACAGAGAGAAAGAAACATCCACAGAACAAATGGCAGTAGATCCAGGAATATATGGGGCATAGAATATGATACAGAGGTTTTCAAATTAGTGGGAAAAGTGGACCATCCTATAAAGGTTCAAAGTAATTAACTACTCATTTAAAAAAATGAAGTGAGTTCTTTACTTGAGTACTACTTACAAAGATAAATTCCAGGTGGACTAACATAAAAATCTATAAGTATGTTAGAAAGACGCAGAATAATGTGTTTATGATCTTGATTTTCTTAAATTAAATAGAGGAATCAAAAAACAAAACTGGAAAAAACTAACAAGCTTGACTGTATCAAGTGTAAAAATGTCAAAGTTGTGTTGATGGGAAAAGGCAAGCAATAAACGTATACAGCCTATGCAATAGACCGGACTGGTATCCAGAATATAGGAAGAATTCCTACAAATAAGTAGGGAAAAGGATAAACAAACCAAAAGAGAAAAGTTGGCCAAGGATACAGACGGGCATCATCCAGCTCTTCTGGTCTCGCGGCAAAGGAGACAGTTGTTCCTGCAGCCAACTCGCCATGGACTGAAATGTCCCCCGTTTGATTCCTGACTCTCCTTTCTCTGCTGCTCCAAATGATTAGTAACCAACTGTGGGACCTTTAATGGCTACGCGGAAGCCTTTGAGACCCGAGGCACTCCACAATGAATAGAAGTCGAAGCACTAAAAATAGTATTAGGCCAATTGACTGAAATAGCCCACAAAGCCCATGACCCTAAACCTAAGAACCAAGAAAACAAATCCTATGAGGTCTTTGGCAATATCAGTCCTGGTGTAGCACCGTAGGATAAGCATTCAACATCAAAGTTGGTTTGAACTGCAAGGTCAGCGGTTCAAACTCACCAGCTGCTCCTCAGAAACCCTATACAGGTTTGCTACGAGTCGGAACCAACTTAACAGCACTTACAACAACAACAAGAAGTGTCAGCAACTGGCTTTTTTTTTTTTTCTTTTGTAAAAATATGTGTAACACAACAGATGCCAACTCAGCTTTTATCAGGTGTGTAGCTTAAAAGCTCCTATTACATAAACCCTATTGTATAACCATTAACGAGCATCAGTTTACCATTGGCCATCAACAGACTCTCATTACTTTTCAAACAGTGACTTTCAATCTCTGTCTCCTCTTTTTCCTCTAATTGTGGCTGTTGTTGTTGAAACCCACCATCTGCTCCTTGGAAACCCTTGACAGCGTTCCGACTCAGCGACCCTGTAGAGGGTTTCCGAGGAGTGCCTGGTGGGTTTGAAACACCTGCCTTGAGGTCCAGCGCTTATCCTGCAGAGTCACACCAGGAATCCTCTCCTGACTTTAGTAACCATTAATCAACTTTGGTCTCTCGACATTTGTCTATTCGATATCACTTCATCGAAGTGATATCATACAATATTCATCCTTTTGTGATTGACTTATTTCAGTAGCCTGATGTCTTCAAGATTCATCCTGGATGTAGCATGTACCAGAACTTCTTTCTCTTTGTGACTGGGTAGTATTTCAGCGCACGCACGCACCACATTTTGTTTATGCATTCATTCATTGGTAGGCGTTGAGACTGCTCCCACATTTTGGCTACTGTGAACACTGGTGTCTGTCTGTTACTGTTACTACTTGTTAAGTCCCTTGAGCATATATCTAGAAGTATAACTATTGGGTTAGAGACTTGTTCTCTTTAAGTTTTTTAGGAACTACCACGCTGTTTTCCATAGCAGCTGTCTGTACCTTTTTTGTATTTCCACCAGCAATGGATAAGGGTTCCAATTCTCCCCAATGCTTGTGTTTGTAAATAATGTTTTATGGGACTATAACCATGCTCCTTTGCTTGCTTCTTGTCTATGGAGGTTTTACAACAGAGACCGTATGGCCTAAAATATTTACTACCTGGCCGTTTGCAGAACAAAGTTAGCCAATCTACACACAGATTTTCATTTGCATTTCCCTTGCTTAAATGTTCCCAGGGCTCCCCTTTGCCCTCAGTACCAAACCTAACTCCTTGGCCTGACCTGGGAAACTGTCACCTCTGGTCTCCCTAAGCCAGGGCTTCATCTCTCCCTGGCACGTGGCTGCCTCACATGCTCTGTTCTCTAACCCACAGGCCTCCTGGGAATGGTCGCTCACATGATGTACACGCAGGTGTTCCAGGTCACCGTGAGCCTCGGCCCTGAAGACTGGAGACCCCATTCCTGGGACTACGGGTGGTCCTTCTGGTAAGTGGCTTTTTGCTTTCATGCCGTGACCACTTTCAGGCATGGGGGGCTCCAAACATGCTTAGCCCAGTCAGGCAGCAAAGGAGAGAGGGTCTGAGCAGAGTTTTGGATGGAGATAGCTGATATCTAAGGCGCCTTGAGACCCTCGAACAAGGATTGACAAACTGTGGCGTGTAGGCCGAGTCCAGTCCCTCACCTATTTTTGTATGCTCAAAAGCTAAGAATGGTTTTCACATTTTTAAATGATTGGGAGGGTGGGGATCAAAAGAAGAAATTTCTGTGAGATCCAAGTTTCAGCGTCCATAATTAAAGTTTTATTGGGCACAGGCATTTACACATTGTCTTCAGCAGCCTTCATGCTCCACAGACAGACTTGGGTAGTTGACAGAGAATCCGTATGACCCACAAAGTATAAACCATTTACTACCTGACTCTTTGCAGGTACAGACTGCTGGCTGTGCTGTAGAGGCCTGGAGGCAGGGGGTCGTGGTGGGTCTGGGGGTTCTGATGGGTAGTAGGACCCCAGTGAGGGGCCTTGGATACATCAGAACATAGATGGAAAACAAAGACAGGCTTAGGCTGGGTTCTTTTGATTGCCAAGCGATTTTTAAGGGGTGTACCTGAAAAAATCCAGGTGTATTAGCTAATATGCTCAGGGCGGTCACAGAAAAACCTACCCCCATTAGTTCAAATACTAAGGGAATATGAGTCTTTTGGCTCTTGTGAATGAAAAGTGCATCTGGGACATGGACTTCAGGTATGTTTGCTCCACTGGGGCTGAGCTCTCCTGCTCTGTGGTCTTCTGAACATATTGACTTTGTGAAATCAGTCATTCTCCCCCTTCCTTTCTGTCTCCCTTTGTGTTGGCTTCAATCTTGGGCAGCTTTTCCTCAAGTGATAGAAAAGTTGGATGCCAACTACATCTTGAGTCTTGCATTTTACAAATATTACAAATTTTTAAAATTTGTAATAATTTTACAAATATTACAAGTTTTTAAAATTTGTAAAATTTACCCCAATATTTCTAACTAAAAATCCTAGTGTGATTTTTCATTGGTTTAAATCATAAGAACATCTCTGAACCAGAAACCAGTAGAGAGATTGGGATGCTCTAATCTGTCTGGATTGAGTCATGTGCTCTTCCCTGAGGCCAGGTGGTGGGGTCAATCCCACCCAGACCCTTGAACAGTGAGAAGGAGAGGTGGTGTCCACTGGGAACTTGTGGAGTACATGCTGGAAAGGAAGGACCCCGGGTGCCCATTACACAGGGCATCTAGGGAACCCTTTTACCCATTGACTCATCTAACAACTATTGGCCAAGGACAGACTCACAGACAGCAGTGGTCAGGGACTGAGGCAGTGGACAGCTGTCCTCCACAGCATGCAGTGTGGAGGGAGGAGCTCGCAGACAGCTGTGGACGTGGCAGGAAAGATCTTCTCTTAGGTGAACTGGGGGAGGATGGGGGACAAGGTTACAGTGTGCTAAGTGGGGAATCACACGTGCAAAGCCTTGGAGGTTGGGAGAGCTGTTGATTAGGAAGGACCCCATTTCAGTGGAGGTTCCTGAAGGTTCCCTTCCACCCTCCCCACTGTTTGTTGGGTTCTGCCTCTTTAAAGCCAAATGTGTGCAATTTAAAGAGACCTTGACCCAGGGAAACCAGCTAAGGCTCTCACCTCAACTTCACCCAATCCTTCCCCTCAGTTTTCTTCCTGAGACCTTACCCTTGGAAAGAGTCACCCCAGACTAGAGACAGGGACAAAGGAAGGGGACTAATACTTTTTTACTATCTACCATGTGAGTCCTGGTGGGACACTGTAGGATCAGCATTTGATTACTAACCACAAGGTTGGTGGTTCAAACCTGCTAGCTGCTCCTTGGAAACCCTATACAGAGTCACTATGAGTCAGAACCGACTCAATGGCACTAAAGAGCAACCACCACCACCATGTGAATAATCATCTTCCATTTACTGAGCAATGATGTGTCATTAATCACAGCAATGCTATGAGGTTGGTACTGTTATTTGTTCCCCTTTTATGGAGGGGGAAACTGAGGCCAGAGACCTTAAGTAACCTGTCCAAAGCCATCCAGCTTGGGATTTGTGCCCAGGCAGCCTGACTCTGGTGCCGGTTCTCAGCTCCTCTCTTCCACCTCTCTGAGATGAAGTAGCAATGATAATCCATGAATATAATCAGTACGGTGCTTGGCACACCACTGATATGGATATTTAAAGGAGTCTGGTGGCTCGGTGGTTAAGTGTTAGGCTGCTAACCAAAAGGTTAAACCTATTAGCCACTCTGCGGGAGAAAGAAGTGGCCGTCTTCTTTGATAAAGATTGTTGTTGGTAGGTACTGTGGAGTCTGTTCCGACTCATAGTGACCCTGCACAGGGTTTCCGAGATTGTAAATCTTTACGGGAGCAGAATGCCTCCTCTTTCTCCCACGGGACCGCTGGTAGTTTCGAACTGCTGACCTTGAGGTTGGCAGCCCGACTAGTAACCACTACGCTACCAGAGCTCCTTTCTATAAAGACTATACAGCCTTAGAACCCCTATGGGGCTGTGAGTCAGAATGTCCTACAGAGTCACTTGCAGACAGAAGTGATGCCCTGGCAGTGGGTGTTTGGTATTGACAATAAATTTAAGTCATGCAACAGCCCCCTTTTACGTATGTGGACACAGAGGCTCAGAAGGTTGGGTCACATGCCCGGGGTGCCAGTCATGTGTGGCAGGATTTGGAGACCCTCCGCAATCAGGCCATTCTTTCCAGAAGCCCCTTGCTCTCCAGCCTGTCACAAGTCTTCTGTCCCAGGAAGCCTGAGTCTCCTGCCCTGCCCCTCTGCTCCTGTGAGGCTGGTTCCCAAAGGAACCGAGTCCCCATTTGACTTATTTAAGGCCCCCATTAGGGCTGATCCATTTCTCCCTGTCACTGCGGCCTGCAAGATGGATCAGCCCCATTATTCATCTCTCGCATTTGGGACCTTGCCAGGGCCGCACAGTGTCATTGCTCTTATTTAATATGTGTGAGACCATTTGTCAAAATTCTGGCCCCAGAGCCTCCCAGGCACCAAAGAAGGACCGGCTCCAGGGAAAACCTCTGTGGGTCTGTCTTCCGGGTCAGTATGGCATTACAGAGGCACTGAGGGGCTCCATGGACCTTGAGTAGCAGCTTCTGAAAAGGACACATTCCCAGGAAGTTGAAGTTCTGATGGCTAAGAGTCAAAGTTCAAATCCCACAAGGATGCTCACTGCTCGGTAGCCCTGTGCAGTGTGGAAGGAAAGCAGGGACCTTAGGTATCCCATAGGGTCAGACAGCTTGGGTTCCGATGCTGGCTCTGACCCTTACCAGCTGTGGACCTTGGCCAAGTCACTTACTCTGCACCTCAGTGTACTCATCTGTAAACTGGGTACAGCCCAAGTTTCTACCTCAAGGTCTCTTGTGAATAGTGTTCCAGGTTTCTCTTTTGCTATGCAATAAACTGTCAGCCTCTCTCTGCAGCGTGGGCGTCTCACAGCATGGAGACTGTGTGTGTCCCCAGAGCAAGTTTCCTATAAGACACTGGCAGAAACTGCAGGGTGTTTATGACCTTGGCTCAGCCATACCAGAGTTCTACCTCTGCTGCATTTTGTTGCCAAGTGTAAGTGACAGGGCCACATTCAAGGGAAAGGGACTTCAGTGTCGGGCCCCCAGGAGGTGTGCTTCACCGGAGGCTGTCTTTGGAGAGGAGCTACCAGGAGGAGTAGATGAAATACTGCCCGTGGGGTCCTGAGTTCCGAGGACATGCTCAGTGTTGGTGATTATAGGCTAGTTGCAGTGCCTTCGTGCCCAGGGCTGGGGTAACAGACTCAGTGGGGTTGTCGTGGGAGTGCCTGGTGCAGTATGCAAGGGCTTGGCATACAGTAAGTGCTCAATAATGCAGTGATTGTAGATGATGGCAATGACATTGGGTCTCTGGCAGAGTCACTCTCGGTCATCAGAGGCACATGCCCCCAAATCCACGAGGACAGCATCGTTTTTTTTGTCCTCACCCCTGACCCCAGGAGTCGTGCGAACATTTGGGCCAGGAATTTGGTGTTTCTTCAGGCCCCAGCCATGCCACTGTTAGTGGAAAAGTCAGAGGTTTGAAACCATCAGCAGCACTGCAGAAGAAAAGACCTGGCAATCTGTACCTGTAAAGATTGCTGGTGTTACGTGCTGTCGAGTCCGTTGCAATTCACAGCGACCGTGTACATACATACAGTTTCTGAGAGTGTAAATCTTCACGGGAACAGAAAGTCTCATCTTTCTCCCACAGAGCAGCTGGTGGATTTGAACTGTGGTTAGCAGCCTAATACATAAACCACTATGCCACCAGCAACCCTCCCCATAAAGATGACAGCTTTGAAAGCCCCATGGGGCAGCTATACTCTGTAGTCTAATAGGGTCACCATGGATTACAATTGATTTGATGGCTCACAACAACACAAAACATCAGACCCCATCTCTGCCCTCAGCTTTGCCAACATGACACTTCCTGTCCTTGTCTTCTTTCTACTGTGACTCTGACAACGCCAAGGCAGGACCCTGGGCAGTTGTCTGGCTCCAAGGGGGTGGAGGTGGTGTTGGATTTGGGTGAAGGTAGATTTGTGTCAGGCACAGCACAAGGTACATTATAAGCTGTGAGTTGTTTAGTTTGGACCCTGCCCTCCAAAGGAGGGGTGACTCTCCTCATTTCAGGGACTAGGAAATGGGTTCAGAAGGGGCCCAGGCAGTTCATCCTGGGCCTCAGAGGGGTGAATTGCACGCAGACCAGGGCTGAACCCATGTTTTGTTTGTCCTGGCACAGTATTTCTTTAACACGTGTACTAATGCCAACATTTAAACAGGTAAAATTTTCACAGAAACATTCAGGTTTCTGTCTTCTCTTGAACGTTGGGAGATCTGATGATGCCTAAGTTGCATTGCCACATGTCAGTAGGCAGCTAAAGCTGGGCAGTGGCTGCCCCATTGGGTGGAGTGTT